GCATTAAACAATATCATGTATGTTGTCATTATCTATCAAACATTAATCTTTACAATTAAGTTGCAGAATTTTTAACATAAAATACTAAAAGTTAATGCTGCCGCCCTCTTGCAATTAAAAATGTTTTCCATCTTGCAATTATTGCACTTAGAGCCATAAGACAAATTTCCAATTGAAGATAATTACTATACACAGACACATACTAAGTAAGAAGAAGCTAGTTTAGATCAGATCAGAGAAGAATTGAAGAATGGCTTGTGTTGCTGTAAATTCTCTTGTGAGGACCATTGAGCTTGAGTTCTTGCAGCCTCTGCCTCGCCCAATCATACGTCAAAAGCAACTCATCCCTGGCAATGAAAAGTTGATCCAAAATCTCCACCAGAAGCTTGGTGATCTGATAGAGCTGTTCGATGAGAACAGGATGGATGGTATCCAAGCCATTAAAGACTTGGAAACTAAGCTCAGAGATGTGGCTTTCCGAGTGGAAGATGAAATTGAATTCCAAATCGTACATCTTTATGAGATGGAGGAAAATGAAGAGTTACTTGCAGGAATAGCAGGTCTTTGTGTGGGAATACCAGAGAGTACTATGGATGCAGTAGAAGAAGACTTGGGAATTGCTGCAGATCTTTTTGTGGAAAAAGCAGGAGGAGGGGAAACTGATGCCCAAAGAAGTTGGCATTCTTTCAAACTTGGTTGTATTTTGGAAGAAGCAATAAGAGACATTGATGCCATCCACAATGAGTTATCCAAAGTGAAGATGGAGTACCAGCCGCGTGTCACAGCTGCCTTGCAAGCAAGGAAAACAACTACAGTACTTGCCGCAGCTGCAGCTTCTTCCACATGTTATAGTGATGGAGGAGTTGATGATGATTCACACTCCCAGCCCCAGCAGGGCAGCATAAATATGGTGGGGAAAAACAATGAGTTCCACACTGTAAAGGCGATGCTAATTCAGCACTCATCAAGGCAGCGGGAAATTGTCTCCATTCAAGGTATGGGAGGCATCGGCAAGACAACATTAGCTAGACGAGTTTATGATGATCCATCGATTGCCTCTCACTTTGACAAGCGAGTTTGGGTTGTTGTATCACAATATCATAATAAGTTTCAAATGCTCACAGATCTTCTTAACTCAATGGGTTGTGTAGGTAGTAGCACTCAAGAGGATGAGCTAGCACAGCAACTATACCAAAATCTGATGCATCGAAGGTACTTTGTTGTGATAGATGACATTTGGAGCGTTGATGCGTGGAATTCTGTCAAGGCCTGCTTTCCTGATAATGCAAATGGTAGTCGAGTATTGTTGACTACTCGCTCTGCACAGGTGGCTACTAGTATTGGCTCTAATAATAACTTTTCTCATCAAAAGCAATTGTTAGATCAAACTGAGAGTTGGAATTTATTTCGTGAAAAAGCAAGCAAATCTGGCTATGCTGAGTTTGAGGCGATTGGGAGACCCATTGTTAAGAAATGCAAAGGATTGCCTCTGGCAATTGTTGTAGCTGCAGGTTTATTTTCCAAACTTCATACGCTTGATGAATGGAAGAATGTTGCAAAAGTTCTAAATTCATCTGCAACAACAACAATTGATGAAGAATGTTCAAGGATACTCTCATCCAGTTACAATCACTTGCCTCACAGTTTGAAGGCTAGCTTTCTATATTTGAGCGTTTTTCCAGAAGATGAAGAGATCCATGTTAAAGAAATTGTAAAGTTATGGATTGCCGAAGGACTTGTAAAGGTATCCGAGGATATGAGCTTTGATGCAGTGGCTAGAAGGCACATTCAAGAACTCAAAGATAGGAGCCTAATTCTTGTAAATCGGCCAAGTAAATGTGGAAGAAAATTAAAGACATTTAGAATGCACGATTTAGTGTATTCTTTTTGTATGAGGGAAGCTAAAAAGGAAAGCCTTCTGCATGTTGCCTATGAGCATGAGTCCTGTTCCCCTCCGAAAGATGTTCGATGGGTAAGAATCCAATCAGAATGGTTTAACGAACAAATATCATATTCTTTAAAAAACTGTAGATCCATCTTTTTTTACAAGTATATACCTTCAGAATTGAAATTTTGCAGTCTATTAAGAGTACTCTATAATCATATTGACTGTGAGATTGGATATTTTGTCCATTTGAGATACCAATTGTCATGGTACCGAGCTTTTACCATTTTAGATCCATTTCGTAGTTGGAATCTTCAAACACTTTCAACTGATAGTATTGATAAAATGAGTTTTTTAGAGTTCCAACAACTACAACATTTGCGTAGTTGTAGAGGTTTGAGTGATTTTCCCATATTTTTTCATCAAAACTTGAAGAGCATTTGTGGGTTGTTTCCTGAGCAATGCACAAAAGAATTATTTACAAATATTCCATACCTAAAGAAGGTAAAGATTCTATGTGTAGATGGTTGGAGTGATTGCATTAATAACTCTGCCTATTCACACCAGCTCCAGAGTCTGCATCTTCTTGGTACATTATCTGGGCGTCCGTTGGTGATTCCAAATATTAACCGCCTTGTTTGCTTGAAAAACCTTATGAGATTGAGGTTTACGGTAATGAAATTTGAGTGGAAGACAATTAATATTCTTAGCAAGTTGCCTAAACTTGAGGTGCTGAGGTTAATCTGTTGTGAGTGCATTGGTAAAGAGTGGGAACTATCAGAGAAGGAGAATTTCGACAAGCTAATTTATTTGGAAATTGGTTTCACTCATTGCCTAAAGCAATGGGAAGCAAGTGCTTGTCATTTTCCAAATCTTGAGCACCTAGTTCTTAAAAAGTGTACAGAATTGGTAAAGATTCCAGCTGAGTTTGCAGAAATTCCAAATTTGAAGTCAATCGAATTGGATTACTGTCTTCCTTCTGCGGTGGATTCCGCCAAGGAAATTCAAAGAGAGCAACATGAGCAAGGAAACGAAAATATGGTTGTCATTGAGGAACACACAATACAGGTTGGTTGGTCTCCCTCCCTTACTCTTTCTTTATTACCTTTTTTTTTTTTTCTTTCTTTTTCCCAAACTTGATTTAGTTTCATCATATTTTAATAATTTGTTTTCAGTGATTCATGGCAACCTCGCTCTTGCAATGATAAACATATTTGAGTTTATCCATATATCAAAAAGGTATATATGTTTACAGTTTACTTATATGTATCCTCCTTATCTTCTTCATTTATTTCACTCATATGTGAAGCTTATTTGTTTATAGCTTAATTTGGTGATTGGAGATATACTAATAAAATTATAAATTACTTTCGTCTCTTGGTATGCTTTACTTTCGATCTTTTACATGTTTAATGTTTGCTATGGGATGACAGAGCTAGGCATGTTCTCTCAATATTGATTTGACATGCATGGTTAGATATGGGTAACTTAAGTTGTTTTTATCTCTTTGTGATTCTTTATCAGCTAGAGTCATAAGGTAGAGTTTACCCAGTACACACCCTCAAATAGTAGCTGCGAGTTTCCCTCGTTACTTTCTCTCAATATATATGTGTGTAATTGTACCCTCACTTGTTGAATCTTCATGTGTACTGTGATTATTTACTGTGAATCTGCTTCAAATCGTATATGAGCGTGTCTGGAATGCAAAAGAATGGTTTAATTTTTTGCTAACTCATTATATATGTTTTTCCTGGCAGCAAGCTAAGGTGACATACAGCTCCCACAGTACACTCTTAGCTGCATCCAATTCAATCTTGGACACCACCACCCTTAGCTTGTTTATGATTCGGCTGGGTTCGATCGGGTAGTACACTTCTCCTTCATAAATCTGGGCACTTTAATTTGTTGTACCTTGTAATAGGAAGTTTTCTTAGAACCGTGATGCGAGTTTAGCCAAAACTATTGCTTGCTGCGAGGCTTTATCATAGCTTAAATGGAGATCTATTAATAACGTCATCCTAGAGTTGAGACAGACAATTTTAACTTTTGTTAGTGTTTCTCGTGATTATTTTATTCAGGTTTATTTATTGACTACTTTATATTTTACTATTGGGAACGTTTTAGTTCTGTCATGTTGGTAAATCAGCAAATCATTCTGCTCATGCTTTGACATGAACTTTAGGTTCTGAAGCTAGTTCAAGTGTGTGGTATTTCGTCTCCCCTTATTGCATGTCTTTCTGTGTTAAATTATGATAATTGTAGTTTTTGTTTTACTTTCCAAAAAAAATTAATTAAAAGATAGGAAGGAAATAAACTTGAAGAGCAGTTGATTCATGATAATTGAAAGATTCCAAAAAGAGGACTCAATTCAAGATTGAAAATTAAATCGAAACATATGGAACATGAGATCTTAGCTTGCAACCTCAACTTAGAATCCGAATAACTTATCTCAAACCCAAATCATTGTTACTTGTACCATTTCAAACCTGTTTAGCACTACATGTACTTTGGCTTTGACGAACACAACACATTCAGAATAAAACAACAAATATAGATTTGAACTGTAAGATTCCCACTTTACATTAAACAATATCATGTATATATGCTCTCATTATCTATCTAACATTAATCTTTACAATTAAGTTGCAGAATCTGTTTGTAACATAAAATTAAATACTAAAAGTTAGTGCTGCCGGCCTCTTGCAATTAAAAATACTTTCCGTCTTGAAATTATCGCACTTAGAGCCATAAGGAAATTGCCAATTGATGATAATTACTATACACACTCACATACTGAGTGAGAAGAAGCTAGCTCAGATCAGAGAAGAATTGAAGAATGGCTTGTGTTGCTGTAAATTCTCTTGTCAGGACCATTGAGCTTGAGTTCTTGCAGCCTCTGCCTCGCCCAATCATACGTCAAAAGCAACTCATCTCTGGCAATGAAAAGTTGATCCAAAATCTCCACCAGAAGCTTGGTGATCTGATAGAGCTGTTCAATGAGAACAGGATGGATGGTATCCAAGCTATTAAAGACTTGGAAACTAAGCTCAGAGATGTGGCTTTCCGAGTGGAAGATGAAATTGAATTCCAAATCATACATCTCTATGAGATGGAGGAAAAGGAAGATTTACTTGCAGGAATAGCAGGTCTTTTTGTGGAAATACCAGAGAGTAGTATTGATGCAGTAGAAGAAGAAGAAGAAGAAGACTTGGGAATTGCTGCAGATCTTTTTGTGGAAAAATCACAAGCAGGAGAAACTGATGCCCAAAGAAGTGGGCATTCTTTGAAACTTGGTTGTATTTTGGAAGGAGCAATAAGAGACATTGATGCCATTCACAAAGAGTTGTCCAAAGTGAAGATGGAGTGTGTCGCAGCCGCCTTGCAAGGAATTGGAAAGAAAACAACTAGTGATGGAGGAGTTGATGTCATGATGATGGTGGGGGATTCCTCCCATTACCAACACGCTTCACAATCCCAGCCCCTACACGGCAACAACATAATGGTGGGGAAAAACAATGAGTTCCAGATTGTAAAGGCCATGCTAATTCAGCATCCATCAAGGCAACGGGAAATTGTCTCCATTAAAGGTATGGGAGGCATCGGCAAGACAACCTTAGCTAGACGAGTTTATGAAGATCCATCCATTGCCTCCCGCTTTGACATTCGAGCTTGGGTTGTTGTCTCACAATATCATAATAAGTTACAAATGCTCACTGATCTTCTTAAATCAATGGGTTGTGTAGGTAGTGGCACTCAAGAGGATCAGCTAGCACAACAACTATACCAAAATCTGTTGCATCAAAGATACTTTGTTGTGATAGATGACATTTGGAGCATTGATGCGTGGGATTCTGTCAAAGCTTGCTTTCCTGATAATGCAAATGGCAGTCGAGTATTGTTGACTACTCGCTCTGCAAAGGTGACTACTAGTATCGGCTCTAATAATCACTTTTCTCATCAAGCACAATTATTAGATCAAACGGAGAGTTGGAATTTATTCCGTGAAAAGGCTAGTAAATGTGGCTATGCTGAGTTTGAGGCGATTGGGAGACCCATTGTTGGGAAATGCAAAGGACTTCCTCTGGCAATTGTTGTGGCTGCTGGTTTATTTTCCCAACTTCATACGCTAGATGAGTGGAAGAATGTTGCAGAAACTCTAAATTCATCTACAACAACAACAATTGATGAAGAATGTTCAAGGATACTCTCATCCAGTTACAATCACTTGCCTTACAGTTTGAAGGCTTGTTTTTTATATTTGAGCATATTTCCAGAAGATGAAGAGATCCATGTTAAAAGGGTTGTAAAGTTATGGGTTGCCGAAGGACTTGTAAAGACATCCAAGGATATGAGCTTTGATGCGGCGGCAAGAAGACACATTCAAGAACTCAAGGATAGAAACCTAATTCTTGTAAGTCGGCCAAGTAGTTGTAGAAGAAAAGTAAAGACATTTAGAATGCATGATTTATTGCATTCTTTTTGTGTGAGGGAAGCTAAAAAGGAGAACCTTCTACATGTCTATGAAAATGAGCCTAGTTCCCCTCCGAAAGATTACCGATGGCTAAGTATCCAATCAGAAAGGTTTAACAAACAAACATTTTCCTTTTCAAAAAAATGTCGGTCCATCTTCTATTTTACCGAAGGGGTCGTTCGCTTCAATTTGAATTGCAGCCTATTAAGAGTAGTCTACAATATTAATAGTGAGCGTGTGAGCAAGATTGAATATCTTATCCATTTGAGATACCTGTGGTCAATTTGTTTTACTCTTGAAATCATTTTAGATCCATTTCGTAGTTGGAATCTTCAAACACTTTCAGTTGTTAGTATTGGTGAAATGAGCTTTTTAGAGTTCCCACAACTATAACATTTGCGTAGATACAGACAACTGATTGATTTTCCCATATTTTTTCATCAAAACTTGAAGAGCATTTGTGGGTTGATTATTGATCAATGCACAAAAGAATTATTTACAAATATTCCATACCTAAAGAAGGTAGAGATTCTATGTGGTGGATATGGTTGGAGTGATGGTTGCATTAATAACCTTGCCTATTCACACCAGCTCCAGTGTCTGCATCTTCTTGCTACATATCATTTCGAGCTTCCGTCGTTGGTGATTGCAAACCACCTTGTTTTCTTGAAAAACCTTATGAGGTTGAGGTTTACGTACATGAGATTTGAGTGGAAGGCAATTAATATTCTTAGCAAGTTGCCTAAACTTGAGGTGCTAAGGCTAAGCAAGTGTAAGTGCATTGGTGAGGAGTGGAAATTACTGGAGAAGGAGAATTTCGACCAGTTAATTTATTTGGAAATTGATTTCACTAATCTAAAGCATTGGGAAGCAAGTGCATGTCATTTTCCAAATCTTGAGCGCCTACTCCTTAGCCTGTGTTATCAATTGGTAAAGATCCCAGCTGACTTTGCAGAAATTCTAAACTTGAAGTCAATCGAATTGATGGGGTGTCGTAGTTGTTTGGTGGATTCTGCAAAGGAAATTCAAGAACAGCAACATGAGTATGGAAATGATAATATGGTTGTCATTGAAGAACTTACTCAGTCGGATGATTTCTCTCTGGTATTCTTTCTCTATAGCCTTTTTTATTTCACTCTCCTTTTTCTCCAAACTTGATTTAGTTTCATCATGTCATAACAATTTCTTTTCAATGATTCATGACAGAATGACGATGATTATAAACTTGGGATATATTGTTGAATAAAAGCAAAAAAAAAAAAAAGGTATGTTTACAGTCTACCTATCTATATATATATATAGCAAAAAGATTGATTGAAAGGCATCTGAGTGTGATATTTGGGCATTTGAATTCTTCCAATATGTATGTATGTGTAATTGTATCCTCAGTTGTTGAATGTTCATGTGCACTCTCATATTTCTGCAAGTGTTTAAACTTCAAATATTGTATTTTTAGTGGTTGGAACCTTCAAAATCTGTTGTCTACTTCTCAGACAATATTCTTTTTATGAACTTTTCTTAAATAGCTTTCTCTTTCATATTTGCTATGATAGCATATTATATGACCCTCTGTATATATAGTGTTACACATTTTTTGAATTTCAGTCTTCTTGTACAAGTAACAAGGCGTTTGGTTGGAAGGAATATATATTTCATTCCCACCTAAATCCAAAGGCTACTAAATTTTTTAGTTTGGTTGGAAGGAATTGCAATTCCCTCATTTTCATGGAATTAAAATCCCATGCCCCCTTGGAATTTTAATTCCATGGATCTTGAGAAGAAAAAAAAAGAAGATAATGATGAGACAAACTTACCCTCCCCTTTTTTAACTTAAAATTGATGCCCACAACAACAATTGGTGTTTTGGACTTTATACTACTTATTCATTTTCAATTTCCATGTATACCAAACATTGGAATTGAAATTCCCAATAATTTTATTCCTATAAACCAAACACTGAAATTTAAATTCTCACTTTATTTCCAATAATTCATCTCCCATTAAATTGCAATTCTTTTCCCACGTAATTCCCTTCGTCTAACCAAACACCTTGTAAATATCTCTTTTCTTGCAAATGAGAGTTCAAATGATAAGAGATTTTTGTCGAGTATCAAATTATAGTATATGAAATTAGATGTTGTTTCACTGAGAATTTCATTCATGACATACATATATTTAAGTTAATCTGAGATTTCTAAGAATGATTTTATAATTCATTTTTTGTTACATTTTCTAATAATACCACTGATGAAATACTTGGTATCAAGCTACTTTAGCTTAATAGACCAATCCATCCATATAGCTAAATCAATAGGTCTACTGAAGCAATCAATACCCAGAGGCCGAATAATCCATAATCACTCTTATTTGATAAAGACTGGGCTATATTTAATGCTTGTAAAACACTGTCACAGCTACAACTAATGCAACAATCAAGGCATGCATTGATTTCAATTCCTATCTGTGAATGCCTCATATTTTAACAAGGTTGTAGTTTTGTGTGGTCACTTAGGTGTGGTAAAGTGTGGTGTATTTTTTTGGTGTGTAGTGCATTGATACATTTCATTGTGATGCATTTTCGAACATTGTTTGGTGCATTTTATGCATACCTTAGGGTGAACCCACACCGACAGCATGAGAAGCACTAATCAGTATATATAGGATCGCGTTCAGGTGCGAACTGCCCGTCTAGGAGAGAACTAAGAACCAGCACGCGCCACGTGTCCAGATCTAGGTGCACCTATAGTTATAAGTAGGTGCACTTAGGTGAAAGTATGTGCACTTAGGTAAAAGTATGTGCACTTGTAGGTGAAACTAGATGCATCGGATCAATGAATGTTAACAAGGTAAAATTACATGCACTTGTAGGTGAAAGTAAGTGATTTTACATGCACTTTTTACTTGCATAAGTGCACCAACTACTTACACATATAACACATTTACATACACCAAAGGACACGTGGCGCGCTGGATGGTTTTTAGTTCTCTCTTGGCAGCCATTCGCATGAGATCGCGCCTATATACATATATATATATATATATATATATATATATATATATATATATATATATATATATATATATATATATATATATATATATAGCAAAAAGGTTGATTGAAAGGCATTTGAGTGTGTAATATTTGGGCATTTGAATTCTTCCAATATGTATGTGTATATGTGGAATTGTACGTGTCCTCAGTTGTTGAATATTAATGTGCACTCTCATACTTCAATCTGCTATATATTTATATTCATATATTTCTGCAAGTGTTGATACTTCAAATTTTGTATTTTAGTAATTGGAACCTTCCTTCAAAATCTGCAGTCTACTTCTACCTCAGATAATATTACTTTGTGAACTACTGTTCTTAATTAAATATCTTTCTTTCTCATTCATGTTTGCTGCTATGACATGACAACATATTATATGAAACCTGCTCTCTGACTCTTTCTATATAATGTTACACATTCTCTGTTTTGATCACCGTATATTTAACTTGTGTTTTAACTTTGCAGAGGAAGATGATGAATGTAGATTGCTAAGTGTCTGTCTGCCATAGTGCCATGAATCCTGATTGCTGAAGTTGTTGATTTGTAATTTTTGAACTTGTAACTGGTAACTTTTTTATGTTCTAATCTGAACAATTGGATATTTGGTATTTTGGTCATTTGGAGTTTGTCAGTTTGGATATTTGGACATTTATAAGACACTAAGTTGTAACTTGTAAGTTGTAATTTAAACATTTGTCATTTTATTGTAATTACAATTATAATTTTTAGAATGGTAATAGATAAAAAAAAATAATTAAAATATAGTGGGGCAAAATTGTGGATCCACAAAAAATTGAAAAAAATAATAATTTAAAACTAAAGGCATTCCCAATAGTGGGATATTTGGTGTGATTTTTGAAGAGTTTTATAGGTGTGATTAGGA